TTAGGTTGGTGGTTAGGTTAGGTTGGTTAGGTTAGGTTGGTTAGGTTAGGTTGGTTAGGTTATATTAGGTTGGTTAGGTTAGATTAGGTTGGTTAGGTTATATTAGGTTGGTTAGGTTAGGTTAGGTTAGTTTAGTTTAGTTTTGTTTCGGAACATTTGGTTGAGGGCGTTGAAAGTGCGAACGCAATTGAGGGAGAACGAGGCTTGCTGGCATCTCGCGAACACAGTCACGATCTGCACTTAAAGAAGTACAACTTTTCAGTCAGATCTATGCATAATTCAGTCCCGTCCAAGGTAATAATGTCTGCCCTCTCATTATGAAACAGCGTCATTACGACGCCGAGTGGATTCATGTGGCCAAAGGTAACTCCAAGGTAATTAACGCCCAGTTTTCATGAAAGACGCTGTGTTCCCTCGAAGACTGCTACGTGACTCGTGCAAATTGTCAGTGCGTGCTGGCAATCTTCCCCTGTTCTAATAATGTTGTGGCAAGGCGAGAACCGATGAGCTTGCTTCACAAACCCTCGTTAAGAAAGTGCAATTTTTACACAGAGAAACTGCACGACGCAGTGGCTGTCTGTCGGTTGCCGTAACAACCACGACAGATGACGGGCAAACATCACGGATTGTTGTTCTACCAGCGGATCGAAGGTTCTAGCTGATATCCTGTGGCGCCTGTCATGAATTTCCGTTTATGGCTGAAGATTCTGTAGTTCTGGTATGAACATTGTCGATTTTTGCGTCAACGTTTATTAAAATAACCTCGTTACATTATATTTGGCTTTGCCAAAAGCTTTTGAGCCCTATATGACCGTCGTCAATGGCTTTATATTGTCGTTTGAACTTACGTAATTGAGTTTATAGCTAAAAAAAATTGACAACTTAGTCTGATTATACACCAAAATCTAGATTAAATATTTAGTACATTTAAGGTAAATACAGATTACAGGGTCTTATAGTGCAGCTACATTACCAGTCGTGCCACCTCGTGTTTCAGACTGTCATTGCATTTAATCCTCACTACAAGTTTGTTATTTTCCCGGTGGTACGATTGGTAATGTAAGTGTACTCAGTGTGTTATATTAATTCTTCTTCTTCTCCTCTCCAGAGCCACTGTTGCTGGGCCCGTGGGGCTTATAAGCGTTTGGCAAAGTAAAATTGCAATGAATTCTAGGATTCTGCCAAGAGTTCTCAGTAGTGGTATTGACAGTGGGCCCGTGGGGCTTATAAGCGTTTGGAAAAGTAAAATTACAATGAATTCTAGGATCCTGCCAAGAGTGCTCAGTAGTGATATTGACAAGGTGTTAAAATTGACCATTGTGTAGTCTCCGTGGACTTGAGGATTGTTGATAAAATTCTGTGGTCTCCGTGGAATGACGGAGGACGTGGCGAATCCTGACGCTCACACCAGCTGCGCCTGTCAGTCATATTAATTGCCGTGTCACAGCGCGTTCCTAGCCAAGAAATACCCTGGTTCCACATGCGGAATGCCTCTGTGCACACTGTGGGACGTCAGCCGCGTTTCATCTTCCGGAGATAGAGAGGACTTCACATTTTTACTTTCCCATTCGCGGTAAGGCGAAACATTGTCGAAAACATAAATTCCGCGTCGTAAAATCTTAATGCTGGCTGCGTGGGAATGTTTGTCGCTCGTCTTGGTACGTTTTTGCAAGACTGTTTCGAGAACCATTCGGGCCCTGATTCTGGCGAAACTTGTGTCCCGTGATGGCCGGAAGGACCTCCGAGTAGTTGCTTAAATTCGCCTCACTTTGCGGGGACGCGAATGCCTCATTGTCCGTCTGAGTAAGTGCCGGGTCCGACGGGGCGTTCACCGGCCGAATCTCCCACGGCAATTAAGGGCGGGAGCACTTTGGAGGAGGGTGCGTGCGGGATGGACCAGCGGAAGTGGGGGGTGGGGGTGGGCTTCAACCGGTTCGTAAGCAGGAAAGAGAGCGAGATACATGGGGACGGGACAAGAATAGCAAAACGCAGATGGAATATACGACAGAAATAGTTTGATACAAACAAAAGAACTGAAATATGGAATAAATACGACTGCAGATAAGGCAGAGCTGTCCTGGCCGTTGTGGTCACGAAGGGACCTTGCCCTCCGCACCAATGTAGAAAGAAAGTGCTGCCGTTTTGTCGGAAGGATGGTGGCGAGAGTTTGAACTGAGTCAGAGGTTCGTGTGAGTGAGTTTACGGCACATCATGTACCCCAATTCACTATTAAGTTTACGGTGGATGGCAGTGTCAACGGAGGCACTACGGAGATGAGCTTGCCTGCCCCATGTGGGCAGTTGACGAACATCTCATCCACTGAGCGAAGACAGCAGCCCCTCCAGAGCCTTCTGTTCAGAGTACTTCCTGAAGACGCTGGCAGTGGGTACGGAGAGTGACGACGGATCCACCCAGAGTGAGCTTGCTCGTCGCACTGCCTCCTGAGACTGAACTTAGGACCATCCGGGAGCTGACGCCGTTCATTGGATCCTACACGTGGTGTAGATAATTCCAAGCAGATCGACAAATTAATGAACCAGGCGATGGGCGAGGTCTCCGCCAATGGCGCGATTTTGGGAGAACGCTTAGCCCAGAAGATGTCGAGCCCTGTGGCCGTGCGAAATCGACGTAGTTTCGGAATTTGAGTTTTGATGAGTTTAGCCGACGTCAGTGGGATGATCATAGAATTCAGTGTGCGTGCCTGTGGTAAAGTTTCATGCCGACTGTGGAAGACGTTTGATGTGTACATGTTTAAGTTGGTTTATGGGTGGAATTGCGATATTTATTTGTCAAAGAGAAATGTAATTAATCGGAAAGTGTAAGAAGTAGTTCTGTTCTTTGAGCTTAGTCTTAAATAACTTTTTAAAATGTCAGTTTTTCTGCGCTGCCTACAATTGAATAAAAACAGCGCTGTCTAAACAAGAATGTCAGTGGCGTTATCGAAGTAGCGTAAATTGGGCTGTGACTATAGGATTTTTTTTAAGAGAGATGAACAGGTTAATAATTTTGTTTTTCTCTGAGTGGGAGAATCTCTTTGTTTCGTTCGTAGTGAAAATACTGTCTTGAAAGAATACAACATTGACAGGCATTAAAATTCGATGCCCAAGAAATGTACAAAAACTGTGTCGGTGTTCTGAAATCAGATGAAGAGACCTTTAAGAAGGGGCGTGAGTCCCAGAGGAATGTCTTCGTAACATTTGTAGGGGACAGGAAGGAAACCTGTTTCAGATGGAAAATCTGTAAGAAATTGTTTGTAACGCAAAATGCAAGACATCAATCCGGAAAAAAAATGTGTCTCGTGCAACAGTGACGCAAGGAGCTTGCTGATGAGGCCGGGAGCAAAGAAAAGGGATTTGAAAGCTGATGTTTAACGCTGGATGAGAGCAATGGCACAGACGATCAGTGGCGGCTCGTGGCTTATATTTCTGGTGGGGGCATCACACAACGAAATATAAAATAAAATCTACAAATTCTAATACACGTCTTTGTGGTCAGATGCAAATATCGGGGCTTTCAGCGTCAGTGTTAATAACATTGAAGTCGTTTTAACAACGCGAAAATGCTAAAATATATTCTTAGCAAAATTATTATCTCACTGTAATGAAGAATATTAATGTGGGTCTTAATTGAACATGACGAGTAGCAGAACGCTTCCATTTAATCGATGCTTATTTAACGAATATCGAAATGTTATCATCTTCCCGGCGTTTGAACAGCTTCCTCGTCATGGGGGTCTTCTGCTATTGAAGAGCGCCCCTTCTCGCTAGCTTTTCTTCCGTGGGACACATTTTCATTAAGAGGGTGGCATAACGATAAGGCTGAAACTGAAAGTTCCTTCTTTGTCGCAATTTTGGCGTTCAAAGCGTTGAACTAGAAACGTATTCTGCGAATAATTTATCATGTCATCTGCGTGTTGTGTTAGGGATTCTGTGAGTGCGCGTCTTGTCAACACACATAAACTGTGATAGTATTTCAGTCAATGTCGTAAGAGGGGGGGAATTGCCTCGGGTGGCCCAATTGGCGAGCGGCCACTGCAGGCGATGCTACTCGGTTAATCGTCGCTCGAGGCGTCCCTTCAGGTGGTTGAAGCATTGAGTAGTCTTAAAGGTTTTCGTGGCTCAACAAGGGACGCAGGCGCCCTCGACAAACCAGAACAGGCGGGGCTTTAAGTGAGACTGGAAAGGAAGAAGGCTTGATGGGCCGATTCAGGTGAGAAATGGACGAATAAAGTCAGGAAGTTCGCATGGAAATTCACTGCGTCACCCGTAAACAGTGAATCTGTGGGAAAATTTTGAGGTTTAAATTTTTTATGAAAGTTTTGGTATCGGTTGTGAACTGCAGTCGATTTTCGTGAGTCGTGAGACAGTGTTAAAATCTTTTTTCTTCGAGGCTAGAAATAGAAGTGTTCATGAATGAGAGTTGCAGAGTTGTGTCTGAACTTTGTGACGAAAAGTGGTTTTGGTATCAGCCGCTACACGAATTTCGCAAATACCAAAGTTTAAGGTCAGCAGAAACTCGCGTCTGACGCGTTTGGGGCTGTCAGGACTTGCGGAATGGAGCTGAAATTCTTTGGTGAGGCGTATTAACCCGTGCCATTTTTTTATTCCTGGGATTTGCTTCGGCGCTTTCGTAATATTTTACGCAGCTGACAGCTGCGAAGCTGTCGGAATGTTTTGTGTGGTCGCTGTTGTCATCGCCTTCTTCTGTACCCGCCCTAACTTTGTCGCTCATGAAGCAAACTGCGAATGCAGTGATGAATGGGAGCGGACGAGTGAAAATGCCTTCTGTTGACGGAGATCGCACTGGGAAATCGTTATTGGCATTTGGATCTACTTTACTACACGTATTATAGCTTAATGCGTCTGAAACGTAAATATTTATTGAAGCCGCTGCCTTGTACCGACTTTTCGCCAGCAAAGCTAGCATCTGCCGACTTATCCACAACCTCTTCGTGCGCGTCTTTTGCTCATTCAGCAACCCGTGAAGGTCAGGCTTTAAATCTCAAACCGTCGTGACTTGTCATGTCCGTCGGGTCAGGTCAGATAATGTCGTTCCTTAAGTCTTCGTTTTTGACGCGTGCGCCTGAAAATTCAGTGATTCTGGCTGTTAATCTGTTCGTATTTTATTGTTTTGTTTTATTAGGGACGACAGTCGAAGGACCCTGGTGTCAGTCCTGTGCAGAAGAATTTAGTTGCTTTGGTTGGTTTAAGCCTGAGACAGGGCATAATGGTGTTGCAAGGTCGCAGGTTAATGTGACCCGGAATACAGAACACTCTGGATCTCGTGACCTAAGAGCCTTCTATCTTTGAGTCCGTCCTGGAGAACCAGAGTCGTCTGCGCCTGCGGTTCACTGACCAAACCTAACCTAAACTAACCTAACCTAACCTAAAATAAACTAACCGAACCCAGCTTACAGATAACAGGCCCCATTTGATCTGAAACAGTGGGAGACAGGCTCCAGTACTTACCGACAGACACAGCGAAGCTTGCGATCACCGTGAGGAACACGATGTTTGGTCGAAACACATCCATAATGCAGAGGCACGAGACGAACCGCTTAGGACTGTCGCAGATGGACACCTGCAACGAACAGTGCGGCGTTAATGTGCGAAGCTCAGGCTGTACAGAAGGCGAGACGTGAATGTCAGTGGTCGGTATGGAGCGCACTCAGATTCCGCGCTGAGTGATTTAAAGCCCAGCTACAGTTCTTGATGATGATGATGATGATGATGATGATGATGATGATATAAATAATGCTCTTGCAGATTTGCCACCGTTTGCGAGTGACAGCGTTCGAACTTTGTTGTCGCTTCGTATTCTTGTGTCGTCTGACCGAGTTCCCACCCGAGATTTCGTAGAAACGCAGGTAACTGAAGCGCGACTCGGTCGGAATTACCGGTAAGACGTCGTCAAAATGCTCACAGCGGGAACAGAAAAGGAGAACTCCGAAACGGCAGGTTAAGCGCAACGAGGACTCGTGTAAAACGGGAGACGAATCTTCTTGATATTCCGTTCCGATTGCCTTTAACTGCATCGGCGAAATAGCCGTAATTAAACGCGTTGTTAAGAAAAACGCGGGAAGCTCGTACGTTTTTATTAATTTTTTAAAAAACTTTTCGTTGAAAGTGAAATTTGTAAAATCTTACGAAACTACCATTTCCCCAAGACCCCTGGACGAATTGACCCCCTCCTGAACGCTGGTTAAAGAGGGCGAGACTCAACCATTTCACTTCAGCTTAATACCTGTTTGCTGTTTGTCATGTTAACTCTGCCGCGTTCTAAACAGAAATCTACAAAGAAAACTACAACCTCTTAATATCAGAGACCAATATTTACCACAAAAGTGTGTGAGAACTCAGCGAGTTTAGGGCACCTGTACCTAGGAGGCAGCCAATTCACTCAGATTAAATTTCAATTGAACTTAGTTCTAAGTCAGGGACTTCAACCTCGCATTTAAGAAATGGCTTTGTTCGTCCTGTGACAACGTCAAGCCTCTGCCCTCTGTCGTGAACTGCACCGACCTTCCCTGCACGATGAACTGCGAACTGGAAGTGGTTTTTAACAAAATCACGTTTACGCGTATCGCGGCTTCAGGCCCTCAGTTTATCGCTGAGCTCCACACCCCCAAACCACGTTTCATCCTGAATATGTTAATTAATTCGAACGCCATGCATTGTACCTTCGTTCTCTTGAATTTAGAGCATGAAATTAATACGGGCATTAAAAATAATTTCCTGATGATATGGGCGGTTCATGTAGCACGCACGAGATACGAGAAATGCATTAAAAATTTTGTCTGAGAACTTGAAGGGAAGATATTCTTTGCGAGGTATGCATTCATGATAATGTACCAAGATCGATCTTACAGAAATAAAATCTGAGAATGTTTGTGTGAGGTCTGCATCCGGCCCGGTGCCGGTTCAGCCCGAGCCCGAAGTTTTCCTCAGGTGTTTCCCGTTCGCCATTTCAGACCGAGTTTTATTCCAGCCCGATTGAAGCCCGACGTATTTCCAGTCTGTCATAAAAACGTGTTTGTTTATTTTAATGCATGCAGGTGTCAGTAATCCTTTAAGGAATTATTTTACAACGCTTTGAGGACGTCTGAGGTTACTTTGCTGTTTGAGGAACGGTATAAAAAAATCGCATTTTAATCCGTCTGATCACAATATAATTTTATTTAAAATTTCTTATAATTAAGATAATAAAATATCATTCATGTTCCTTATCGATTGATCGATTTACATTTCGGAACATTTACACAACATGTTTCAGTTTTTATAAAACCATCATCAGGTGTAAAATATATCTAAGAGCTTAAAACTCAATTATGATTTCTGTAGTTTTTTAAATATTGTGCCGTGTAGTGGTTGGATGGCTGTGAGTCGCACTTTGGGACTGGGGAAAATCAACTACGTCCTGTATCCGGGTCGAGATTCGAACTGTGCACCTCCCGAATGGAAGACAGTCTTGCGTAACCGCGTAACTCAGTCGTCAGATCTATACGCTGACAGCAACCGCCCTGTGCGGAAAGATGGTATAGCTGAAACGGACAGACTGACACACACAGACGCAGGTACCGTCGTGAAATCGGAGACCTGACGAGGATTTGGTGCTGGGCACCGCGGCTGACACTTAAGCGTACTAAACTTTTACACTGATGTAAAACAGACGCCATAAGCCAAGTTAAAATATGTCGATCGCTGATAGAGATTTCTTTACGTGGCAGTTCAGTCCATGTTTGTACATGTGATCATAAAATGCGCGCGCACTTTGGCAGACACGACGTCCATACTGCATGGCCGTCGAGAGTCACAGCGAATGAAATCATTAAAAAGCGCGCTTAATTAATTGCGTACAGATGAAAATACGCTAAATCAGTTTGTAGAGACAGTAGAACGTATTTCCAGCTTTCGGAACTGTGCCCAAGTTACGTCAAAAATACAATATTCCTGACACTAAAATGTAAAAGTTTTTAATCAAGTCTACTCTTAATGGTTCTGCGTAAGTTATTTCTAATTAAAATGTCATGCTTCAGCGTAACATAGAGAAGTTTGTACTTTTATTAAAACTTTGAAGCCGAAGCTCATCTGAATAATACGTATAAGGAATTTAGTCCGTACCGCAAAGAAAACACGACACCTAACCGTTACGAAGATCAAATGGTCGACGCATTTTAAGGAAATTATCGCAGTTTACACTGAGAATCATACGAAACAAGTAAATGCAAAATGGAGTGTTACTGAATGTTACAGCAAGTGGTACGTATAGTTACCACTAGGTCTTGAAGGTCAACACTGGTTTTTAACCCGTTGTTATGACATGCGGCCCCTTTATGTAATAATTTGTAGAACTGCAACCTAACTTAGCGACAGTCTGCAAATTCCAGTTCACTAAACAAACAAATCACTGCTACTTAAGAAAATTATTTGAATTAATGGAACAAAGTACCGGTGATCCCTGAAATCTGAATCAGCTGATAGGAAACTGTCGATGCCTATTTGGCGGCAGAATTAGTCGCCCAGTCGCTCCCTTGACTTACGTGAATATCTCGAGACGTAGGGAACCGGGCCTTCCTCGTAGCAGCAGCCAGTCAGTCCGTTCGCCGCCTGCCACCTGCGTCCGTCGGGCGAGCACTGAGCGGGCCGGGTCCAGCGCACCTCATCTTCTTCAGTGACATCTGCCGCCCCTCTAATGGGACCGGTTCCAACTTTGGAGCCTCTGCCCCGCGGGGAGGCGGCGGGGGGCGGGGGGGCACATCGCGTACTGTTGCACATTAAGTCATAGTCATTTGTGTTCTGCCTCTGCACGTGGCATTTTCTAGCATTCTGCCAAAGAACTTTCGTCTTTCGACAGCAATAAGGAAATAGGTTTGCCCAACATTTGGCGTCTTCATATCTCATTAGTATGCGATTCGGATACTTCGCGGGGCCGAAGTGTGTAAACACTGAATAAACCTTCAAGCATTCTGCTGAAACGTTCTCACAGAACAGAGTTGCGAAATCCACTGATCCACTTGTAACACGTTTCCTTACTTTATTTGGTTCATTATTCTTTTAGGACCGATTACGTTTGCAACTGTTTGAAATGCATTACTATCGAGGACAATGATTTAGGCCCTATTTCAGAACGCGAGGGAGTGATGTCGGAAGTGTGTGTACTCCAAAGTGGAATACGCCTGTCCTCTTCTTCAATTGTAAAATGTTTCAGACCTCAATCGCATCTCTTAAAATCTCTAGGGCGAATTCTTACGATCTGCTGACACGCCATCTGTGGCGCACTGAGCAGTGATTCTTTCTCGTCTCGCGACTTCGAACACATCCGTGTCGCCAGTGCACGTGCACATAGCTGCATTAATTTTGCTGTTTTTCTGCGTATGTGTGACTTAATAACGCTATATCAACTGCACAGTGTGACTGAAAGATAACGGTGGACTTCATGGGCGGGGGGCAGACGTCAGATGGCGACTGCCTTGCCTTTGATGTAACTTACTCGCGGTTTTCTCTGTATTTCGAATGCCCGTTATCACTGAACTACACGTTTCGTGTGTCAAGGTCATCACAAAAACTTTCCGATCGCACCTCGTACTAAAATAATCCGGCGGTAGTGATGTTAAAATGTGGACACCAATCCACAGAAACAGGAGCAACCTAAGTTAAGATTTCATTTGTCTTTACTCCCTGTGGGTAGAGCAATCCTAACGCCGATTACCTTCCTTCTGTGTGTCAAGGTCATCACAGTTCGCGCTTTCCACGGGGTCATCGTTGGTTTGTTACGCATATAGGTGTTAGGCGTAGACGGGTCATTTATACGAGATGAATTGGAAAGGACCCGGAAGGAAACGACCGTGACCGAATTCTAGGGAAAACGTAAGGAGAACCTCGATGGGGATTGCGGGTCTCCGTGCCGAGAGTTGAACCCGGAACTTTCCGACCACAAAGCGGAATTGGTGACCGCTCGGCTGGGATGTTCTTTGGACGGAACTGCAGAGCGTCAGTCCGTGAGTAGGAATTCGGTTGTTTTTTTTTGAACTGGTTTGACGAAACTGGACTCGTGCCATCCTGCGTGTCTACGAGGAATTTTAGTTTCTCCTGATGTTTGCTTTAAGAATTACGAAAGTCGCAATTCTTCCGATAAACCCCTGAACGAGTGTACGATCGAGGTTTCTGTTCGTGTCGTTTGTTGCCGGCTTTTGATTCCAGCTCGGAGACGACGGCCCTTGGATCGTAAGCCACCTGATCTCCTCATGCGCAAGACCTGGTATTTATATTTATTTAGTGTTCTGTCTGACGATAGGTCCATATGAACAGGATCCTTCCATCTTTTTCTCGGACTGGGACCTGTTCATATACGTTCTTGGCAGATGATCCATAAGTGGTTTGCCATTGCCTTCTTCTGTGTGTGAATGGAGTAATTGTTGGGATGCCACGGAGAAACCGGGGAAGCCCCCGGAGGAAAACTCCCTGTTGCCTAGACCACGGCCTTGCCCAACACAAGTTATAAATCTGGGCACCACCGGGAATCGAACCCGAGACCCCAGGATTACAAGGCCAGCGTTCTAACCGCTAAGTGCTGAAAGGCCGCTCCCCTACCAGTAACAGGGCGAAGTTGCCAACGGAAACTTCCGACAGCTTCGAAGTACGCCTGTACTCTTGTGTACGTTGGACTTACTGACGAATGGCGAATTACACGATGCATGTCATTATCTAGAGACACACGCACACAGCAGATTTGCGCCAACCGCAGAGGTTGCTCGACAAGACGCCAGTTCTGGCTATGACGTCATGAACGTAAGAGTGATTATTCATGAAGGACGGGAAATTTCACGCGCAGAAAGGGAGTTTCGAGTTAATTTCTCAAAGACGCGTTCGCGGTCAAGTTTTAAAACATTGCACCGAATAGCTTCGCCATTTCGGTCTGTCTGTCCGCATTTAACAACTCGAGAACGTCTGAACAAATTTTCAAGAACTTTTATGCTGGTTTTTTTTAATAACACTTATCGACACCGTTAAGATTAATTTAAAGTAGGACAGGAATAAGGGACGCTTTCCATAAATGCTTACGCGCACTCGATTGAATTTGCCTGTCAGAGCGAGAAAAATGGATCACGTTTTACGCCCAATACGTTATTTGTTTGCTAGCATTGCGGCTTGCGAGATAATTAAGATCGAATTAGTTTATTTATACTGTGACGCATCAGAAGTCCAGATTAATTAGACTGGTTTTTGTAATTATAAGAGAACTTCACGAGTTCGCATACACGAATCGAGGCAATGGAAGGGAACGTTTCCCGATCAGCGTTGCTTAAACGTTGTCAGTGGATTTAAGTTAAAGTTAGTGACGTTTATAATTGAGACGGTTCTGCGTTGTGCATGTGCGGGGAGCTCTTTGAGTTGTCAAGTGACGAGGTTGATGACGTATTAAATAAACTGTGCTCCGCGGGCGTGGGGCTGGAGCTGACACGAGACATTCGTTCGATAGGGAATGCGCGGGAAATGAAGGGAAATGGAGCGTTGCTTTGAAAGGAGCTGAAGAAAGAATGACGAAGTAAGCGGAATAAACTATTGGGAAAGCAGAAAGCAACGTCAAAGAATTGTGGGGAATGGGGAAGCTCTTTGACAAGCGAAGGCCGCAGAGCGGATTGATAATTTAGGTATGCATAAGGAAGGAACAATTACGACTAGGTAACGTTTTTCAGTACTAAATGGCGTAATATTAACACAGACAGAGCTTGTAACACGACAAAGAATTGTGCTAATTTTTTTATTTTATTATTATTATTATTAGTGTTCTGTCTGACGACAGGTCCATATGAACAGGATCCTTCCATCCTTTTCTCGGACTGGGACCTGTTCATATACGTTCTTGGCAGATGATCCAGAAGTGGTTGGCCATTGCCTTCTTCTGTGACGACAGGTCAGGTCCATATGAACAGGATCCTTCTTCCATCCTTTTCTCGGACTGGGACCTTTTCATATACGTTCTTGGCAGATGATCCATAAGTGGTTTGCCATTGCCTTCTTCTGTGTGTGAATGGAGTAATTGTTGGGATGCCACGGAGAAACCGGGGAAGTCCCCGGAGGAAAACTCCGTGTTGCCTAGACCACGGCCTTGCCCAACACAAGTTATAAATTCGGGCACCGCCGGGAATCGAACCCGAGACCCCAGGACAAGGAAAATATTTTTATGGCTTATAAAGTGACGCTTTCGCGGCGACTGAAGTTGATGGTTATAAGCCGCGTCAGGTGGCTGAATGGTGCATAAACCATATTTTCTGCCAACGTTTCGAGAGAAATCTCTGCTCTCATCCTCAGGGCTGCTGCGTAACAAATCTGGCCCTTTGTAGCGCGCTCGCCGATGGGAACTGGAATTACAAGCGAATGTGAGGATACACGTAAGGGGGGGTGATTATGGTTTTAAGCGTAGGAAGGTAGCGTTGTTTGACGTCGTTAAATTAGACACTTGGATAGTAAAATACCCTTGTTATACGGGGGCGGTCTTTTGTCCATAGAACTCAGTTTAATAAATGATTTGATGTGATTTGATTAAACTTTTGTTCAGAGATGAGGGTCTCCCTGTAATAAGCGCAATGCTCAGAGTTTGAGGCGTAGTGAAATTCGATGTCCACACGCGCGTCTGCAAGAGGCGAGAGAGTTTTGCAGATGTCAAAGAAGTGCGTTTTTATTTTGCGAATTATTAATCGAGGAAACATGAATAATTCATTGAACGCCTTTCAGGTCTGGAAATAAATTAAATTAAGTGGGAACATGAAGAGTGGATAATCAATCAGGTTGTAAGATGATAACAACAGTTGGGCGCCATGGCCTCAGCGGCTTAGGCGTTGTCAGGTTAAGTGGCTGAGAGCTGCTTCAGCGCGGCGTGTTCTGACCGGAGGCCAAGGGAATTCCAACGCGCGACGAGGGAGCTGAGTCCGGCGAAGCTGACGGACGGTATCCGCTCTGGCACTGGTCTTGTGTGGCAGACGGCAGAAGGATTCGTGGATTCGAGACGCAGTTGGAGGATGAAGTTGAGTTACTCCGTTAATCGTCCGCAAGAACTAGTAACTTCTTATAGCGTATCTCAGTAGTTGATAGGCGGTTAAACAAACTGTTCTTTCCTCTCACTCGTTTTGAAACACGCGGTAGAAATGTCGCTGTCTGTCTGTCTATCCTGCAGTCACTCTCGTACTTTGTCTGCTACATTCTGCAAATATTCAAACCACATTTCTCACTTCTAAAACTTCTTGACGATGGTGAAGAGTCATTTGAATAAAAATTTCCTTGGATATTATCCATCGTCTAGTAAAATATAAAACGTAAAACGACGTTTCGGAGATGGGACTCTATCTCCGTCTTCAGGTTCCTACACAGTTGGGCCCACTAGATAGAGCTAATCCCTAATCGATAGAGTCCCATCTCCACTTTTATTCAAATCACATTTCTCACTGCTCATTCTCGGAGACCAATCTCCTCCCGGGTTCGCTTTGTCCGTGTGGGGAAAGCCGTGCGGGTCGGCTACCTCTTAGGAATACCACGACAGACAGACAGACAGACATGCGTCCTTGCGAATAAGCAACTAATTCTTCGGAAGAAAGTTGCCGTGTCAGATGCTGGTACCGAATGTGTGTTCGTGGGACGTCGTCTCTTTAGACGTCTCGGAGGCTGCGTTTGAACCCAAGGGAGGT